AATCAGATATTGGACTTGGATTTTCAAACAACCATCACTCAATTTACATTGAGCAACAAGGAAAATGGAGAGGGTAAAGGGTTGTTGCATTGTATGTAACTATAATATCCCCTTAGGTTGATAATAAAATAAAAATAAATAAGGAAGAGAAAAAAAAAAAAAGGTAACGAATAAAAAAAAAAACTTTTTATCACTTTTTGATAGACTATATAATTGTTTTGTAACTTCCCACAGTTAACACATGTAACATTCACTGGTAATATATAACAACATATTATACTTTTAATTTTATATTGATATAATATAAATAAATTTAAAATAAAGATATTTAATATGAAGATACGACTTAAAATTTGTTTTTTGATTTTCATCATTCATTTTTTTTATCATATTAACCCATCTTAATTTTGAAAAAAAAAGTATTAAATTAATATTTTTATATAATAAACAAAATTATATAAATTAGAAGATAATATATAGTTAAAAATAATATAAATATTAAAATTTAACTCACTAAAATAAGATAAAACAATAAAGAATGTCAACGGATATAATAAAAATATTAATAATTAATTATGAGTATTTTAGAATATATTATTATAAATTACTGTCAAATTTTTATTTTTTTAATAATATGATTAATTATATATTTTTATTATTTTCATTTATGACGTTCAAAATCGAATAAATTAAAAAATAAAACAAAACTTGGTAAAAAAACTAAAAATCAATCAAAACTATTTTTTATTAAAAAAAATAGAATCAATCTTTACGATTTTCAGTTTAATAATCAATAATTAATATAAAAACTGAATTAAAATTATAATATATATTATTAAAATAAAAACAATATTTATGATAACCGAGCAATTTTTTTTAAGACATTTATTATTATTTACGTGAAATACGAAAATATGAAAAATAAATTAAAATTATAACTAATAATTGTTTATAATTTTATCGTATATTTTTATTTAATAATTATTTTATTATAATATATTTAATACATTTTTAAAATTAATTATAAAATACTGATTTAATTGGGTTCAAATATTTTTTAAAGTTAAAATTAAAATAAATATTTAAATTTTATTTTATATCTAAATAATTTTTATATAAACCAAACTATCTTCACGCTTTCTGTCCCTTTCTACGCTTCAAGAGGCTGCATTTTGTTTATTTGTTTTATCGTTTTCGGGTTTCCTATCATTCATGACAAACGAATCAAATCTGGTTGATAGGGAAATAAACTATTCTTCGCTCAAAAGGGGTTACTCGTAAGAAAAAAAAATAATAAAATCTATCGTGTAGATATTTTCTTTTGACATTTACATACCAAATCACACGCGTTTAAGACATTTACAACATTTATATCATCCAATGAATGGAAAGTTTATTTTCTAAATAAAGCATCTTCACATGAACACAAGTTAATAGATAATGAACTTAAAATATCATAACTTATTAAAAATGTTCTCATTTGAATTGTATTTATCATTATATTATATATATATATATATATATATATATATATATATATATTACTCTTTCTATAATTACTTTTTCACAAATAACACAAAACTAAATAAATAAATCATAATATTTATTTTAAATAAATAAGACCTACAATAATTGATTCAAAAAATAAGATTAATTACTAATAAAAAACAACAATAAATATATTTAATCACTAAATTTGCAATATTTATTATAATAATCTCAATAAATAACATGAATGTGTAATTTAAATATATAAAGTAATTCAAAATATAAATACGTAAAAAAAATATATACATATTACGTCTCATATAATAATATAATAAAATAATAAATTATTATATAATTAGTTCTTTAAAGGACTTATATAGACTATTAGGTGTAAATATATTATTACTATGTTCCATAAAATATTTAGTATAAGTTAAAAATTCAAAATATTAAATTTAAATTTGTTATAAAATGTATTTCTTCGTATTTTAAAACACAAATTTATTTTTATTATATTAATTTATATTATAATATGTTCACATCCACATAAATATTAAAAACTTTCAAAGGACTAAATAATATATGTATTTGGACATAGATTAATATAAAAAAATATTTTAGAATTAATATATTATATCAATTTACATCATATTCGTCTAGGTTCACCTTCACGTCAAACTAACACTAAAAACCTAAATAATAAATTACACATAAGAGATTTGTAATTATTACAGCACAAATTCCCATGTGTTGAATATAAAGGTATCCAACGGAGACAAACTTTGTAAATAATTTATCTAACATAACTTTTTTTTCACACCTTAATTTAAAAACCCTATTTAACTTTGCATTACAATATTATACCAACTATATTAAATAATTACACATATATCATATTATTTTAGTACTTAACAAATTTTTTTCAAAAAATTATTCGTCATTTCTGCCTCAAATATCTAAACGAATTTAAAATGTTTAGCAAAATTTAAATAGTTTGGACCATATCTTAAATCGGTTAATTTAAAATTAAATCCTTTAAAGGTACTTATAAAAATATTATACTACATAATTTATCGTTTACTTTATTATTAAAGTTTAAAATCAAATTATATTTAAGGTTAATCAATTTAAGTACAATATCACCAAACAAAATATTAACATTTCCAATATTATAACTAGGCCTTAACGTAAACCATTTAATAAAAAATAGAAAAATAACATTGTTTTTCCAATAGTTTACCCTCTATAAAGTTATTGGTAAGTTTTGAATTACTTCAAAGTTGCTGGTCAATTCCATTCGAAATATTACTTTAAAGTTTAACAACTAACATAACTTAAATCTTTATTGTCATTATTTTAATATATTAAATATGAATGTTAGACTTCGCTGGTTTTCATTTATTCCATAAAAATAATTACTTCACCCAGAAAAGTAATTTAAAATGTAAATTTATCATTAAAAATAAATTTTATTTTACTGTATATTATATTAAACTTTTAGGTTTAACAGATCCATCAGGTCAACTTGTTAGATTACATAAATTAAAAAAAAAAAATTGTCGCGTCGCAGTCAAAAGAAATTTTGATAGATTATATGATAATATTGCTAGTATAAAAGTCAAAATGCATTATGAATAAAATATTAAAAATGTCATTTAAGCATTATTTTTTTGAGAATGATACTTTGAGAACCCAAATCCATCCAACTCTTATAAACAACTCTCTTTTAATATTATAATAATAGTTTTATTTTATTTTTATTTTTATTCAATCATTTTATAGATTATTATATTAATAAAAATGAGTTGTTTAAAGAGTTGTATGGTTTATGATTGTAAAAATATCACCACTCTATTTTTTAATTAAAGTTTGTAACAATAGATGTTGTTGAATGTGAACAAATTGTCATGAATCGATAAAAATGATGCTGATATAATCTTTAAAATAATTATTAACTATTAGCATAATATCGTATATGGAAAATTTAACATTGAATTTCCTAGCATAGAGTTTGTAAAAAATTTAGACAATTTTTACTTTCATTTAAGTGAGTAAAAAATAAAATAAAATTTGTCAAAGCCTCAAAGGTAAAGCATCAAACTCTTGCAGACAGGAGATTTTGTTTCTCGTCTCCTTTCTTTTTCGTTTTCATGTGGTGAGAGAAAGTATTAGTGAGGAAACGATCCAACTCAGACCTGTTATCTTCACTCCACCCAACCGATCCTCACTTTTTCTTGTCAAAGCAGGTGCACCTCCTTCCGTCTAATTTGCTTGATTTGTTTTTTTTTCCTACTTTAATTCCCTTTTACCAGATTCCACACTTCTCCTCACTTTTGTTAACTTTAAGTATGCAATTTCATGTTTTAGCTCTTTTTGGTGGATATTTGGTTTCCACTTTGTTCATTTGATTATGGGTTGGGGTAAAATTTTGATTTTTCTCCCTTCAACTACAAGATCAGTTTCAAGTAGAGAAAGGGGTAAAATCTTTTTTTTTTTTTTTAATACTGATTGATTCTTTTCTTGCCATGAGATTGTTCAGAGATTTGTTTTCTTAGTTCATTTTGTTTAGTTAACAATTCGATGTGCTGCTTTCATCCTGGGTGGTGGTTGTGTTGCTCCCCAAACTATGGTGAATTGGCTACAGCTTAAAATATCCGAGCATTAGTTAAATTAAAGAAAAAAAAATATATATATATATATATATATATATATATATATAGAGAGAGAGAGAGAGAGAGAGAGAGAGAAGGTACGGCAAATGATTTTCAAGGATAGCTTACAGAAGTTAACAGCTTGTTGCGTTAAGGTTAATTGTGTTTTTCTGGGCTGATTTGTGATGTCATAAACACTATTTTCATTTATTTATCTGTTAATTATTTGTTTTCCCGCTCGAACTTTTCCTTTGGCAGTGAGATCTAGCTTCTAACGTAAGTGTATTGTCTACGTCTAAAAGCATGGGTTGAGTCAATTCTTTATGCGTGCTGTAAGTTGGAGACATTAACAATTGCTAACCAGCTAATACTTGACGTAGAAGTCTGATTCAAATAGGTTTGATATCAGACGAACGAGATGGTTGTCTTTTATTTGTATTACAATATTTCAGTACTTCTCTTTAGCTGATATAAGTGGATACAATGAACTTTCTGGAGCTTCAAAGAAGCAATGAATATAGATTATGTACTCATTGTTGCTTTCCGGGAGATATTATTTTTAATATGTAAAAGTTCTTGAATGTTTGCTTTTGATTTCATTTTGTCTTAATGTGTAATTGAACTTACTTGCTGCATCGTTCTATTCTAGTTATATAATGACTTTCAAAGCTCACTTTAAGATACCCGGTATCTTCATGATTACTCTTTGTTGAACTTTCCCAAGGCATACTATGAAATATTAGAGCCTATTAGCTTACTTTTTTTTATCACAATACTTGTCCTTTGTATATATATATATATATATATATATATATATATATATATGCGTTGTTAACATTTCTATGAAATATTGGACAGGGCATGGCAACAGATGAAAATGCTGACATGTCAGATGTGGAGACCCAGATGAGTCAATCGCGTGAAACATGGACGCAGGAGATTACAAGAAAACAATCCGAAGTAGATGTTTTGCAGAAAGAACTTACAGAGGTAAAGGCCTTCAATGAGGGTTCAGATGGAGATGTAAAAAAGGAATTGGAGGTTCTTTGGCAAAGAGTCAAGACTGCTTCTACATTGCTGACTTACTTAAAATCAAAAGCTAGGCTCATGGCTGTTCCTCATCTAGCTCATACAGCTTGTGGCATCAAACAATTAGAGGGGGTAGGCTTTGTTGACAAAAATGGGATACCATTATCCGGTTGGTCCAGCAATGTTGACCTTTCTTCATTTGATGACACAGATGAAGAATCGTGGATCGGTATTAGCCATCAGCATGGTTCCTTAGACGAGCAAGATGCGGCTTATATAGGTGAGATTCTCAAGTCTGTACAGATGATCGCAGATGTGATGGAAGCCCTTGTCAAAAGAGTTTTATTGGCTGAGTCAGAAACTTCAGTAGAAAAGGGAAAAGTAGGTGTAAGTCAGGAAGAAATTAAGCGGAAGTCTTCCCAGTTAGAGAACGTGTCTATGAAATTAGAGGAGATGGAACGTTTTGCTTTGAACACGAACAGTATTCTAAATGAAATGCGGCAGAGAGTTGAGGACTTAGTCGAAGAAACAACCAGACAGAGAGAACGAGCTGCTGAAAATGAAGAGGAGCTTTCTAGAGTGAAGCGGGAATTTGAGTCTCTGAAATCATATGTTAGTGGTCTAATCACAGTAAGAGAAACCTTGCTTTCTTCAGAGAAACAATTTCGAACTATTGAGCGGCTGTTTGAAAAGTGAGTATATTATATGCTATTAGCAATATTATTACTTCTCTTCACAATCTGATGTTTGACCTAAATGAAGTTGCTTGAGTTACATGCTTCAGTACACTTCCTGCTGCATTTTTATGCTTTATATATGATTTATTTTATGTTTACTTGGTGAGTTCCATCATTTATTTGTTTTTGGATCAGGTGTTCTACCTTTGTAAAATAATATTATCATCTTTTTTGGCTGTGCATAGATTTTCTATATGCACATGGCCATGGTCTATTCCAGACTCTTATTTAGAAGCAAAAGTTCATATAACTGAAATAATCTGGGGAATCTTTAGGGACAAAAAGAGGTAAATACTATTAAACTTGGTGTTGTTGGCATGAGTGATAAATTATTTAAGGGTCAATAAGTGCTAAATATATTCTTATTTATAATTTGATTCATTGTGAACTGGTTAGCTATAAAATTCTTATTTCAACGAAATCTCATCATCTGATTCATCATAACTTGGCTATTTTAGCATCATTTCATTCAGGAGGTGCCTTCTTTTCTCTCTTCTGCATGACTTAGTCACATCTACATCACTTATCCAAGTTTCTTTCTAAAAGCAGTAGATTAACCAGAGTTGCTCGTTTTATTTAAAAATTTTAACCTTGTGGGAAGTATGCAACTTGGCTTGCATGTGTATTGCTACTCTCTGTTTGCAAAGTCATACTTATAATGTAGATCCTTAATTGCTAGTATCAATAAATGCATTTGGCCGCATCTCTCCTTCTCAGTGGCAAATGCCAGCATTTTCTACCCAACTGATGTTTCAAAACTGTATGGAGTGGCATGGCATACGCATTATAATGGCACGTCAAATGGAGTGTCCCGTGAACATTTGGTCGCATGGTTTCATAAAGTTTTATTTGAAGTACAAGTTTCTGTCTAGAACCTGTTATTATGTCAAGATAACTTGGGTCTTGTGGTGGTTTAGTATAACATCTTGATGACTAGGTGTGTTTGTATAGCCATTCAACATGACACAATGCCAATTCATGACCACCCCTTCTTTTAGCGTAAAATGTTTTTCCTTCCAAACACACCTTAAGTATGAACATCGACTCATGAGCCATTGATGGAGTAAAACATTCATTTTAATTCTCAGGTACAATGTTCATCTCTACCTTTGATATGTACATTCATTTCTAATTGCCTGATGTTCCTCTGGAGCAGGCTAGTTGCAAAGACTACTCAGTTAGAGGGTGAGAAGATGCAGAAAGAGGCTGAAGTTCAGAAACTTATGGAAGAGAATGTCAGGTTAAGTGCACTGCTTGACAAGAAAGAGGCTCAACTTCTTGCATTGAATGAACAATGTAAGGTAATGGCCTTGAGTGCTTCAAACATGTAAATGCCAAAACACGTAAGAGACTGGTTTCTTTGCGTTTTATGCTCACCAATGGAGGCATCTAAATTGAAAAGCTTCACTGGATGAAGAACTTGATCAAGGTCCTCCCATCTAGAAGAGGCACTTGACAGGGTTATCCATAAACATCATTAATTCCTTAATTTTATCTTCTGGTGCCATTTATTGCTGTTAAGATTGAACACAGAAAATACTTGTGCTTAATGTAAACTTAGCGTTCTCTTTTGCGGGGAAGTAAAAAAAAAACGAGAATGGGATGTCTCTTTGCTGTAAATATACCGAATCCCGAACCTCGAGCATTTGGTAAGTCATTTCAATTAACTTATACTTCATTTAATTAATATGAAATTTTCTTTAAAGTAACGGAAGTACTTGCGATATTTCAGTAGTTGATAGCATTTTCTCTTAAACATGATTTGAATAGTTTTCGCCTATGATTTATAATTATTAATAATAAAAAAATATTTAAACCAATGGATCTATATAACACCAAGAATTGTTAAAACTCAAAAGTAAATTGCATATTATAAATACTAAAAGTACAGTAAAGAACATCAATTTGGCGTGGTTTTCAGTTTTTAGTTTTAAATTTCTTTGCTTTAGTTTTATAATGTCAATGTTAGTTCTTCGGTGACGTGTATAGCTAAAGCAAGAATAATAGAAGGCACGAGCCAGAAATGTGTCACCCTATACTTCTCTTCCCAATTGTGATCAAAGCAATCCATAAACGAACCTCTTCAGAGACACCACCACATTCTCTGAAGTCGAACATAAATCATTATGAACCCGAACATGTGAAACATCAGCCGAATGCAAAGCAACATGTTAACGATCGCTACAGCCATATCATCATCCATGCTAATCATCAATAGAACAACGATGAAATTCCCATGTGTGAGAATCATGCTCGTGGGGTCCAATGAGTTCAGCAATGTCATTGTATCCATCACTTTCTCTAACGTTAACGTTGCAGCTCAACAATTCACTTGGCGACCCAACGTGTTAAACTAGAGTATTGAAACTCGTAACTTAAGCATTAGACGACACAGAAAAGCCCAATGAACATGTTGGGAGGTTGAAATGTTCGAGTTTGTCCCATAGTCTCGGATAAAGATCAAGAGTTTGAGGTGAAATCCTTTGCTTGTGTTAGGAACCATTTTAGTGGTGCAAATGAGGTTAACAATGGTGCCAGAGACAAGGACAAATCAAATGAGGTAGCAAATGTTTTCAAATTAAGTGGAAAGTATTAAACGAGCTTAATAATAATATTATTTTTATTTTATTTAAGAAATAATTACTATTTTATAAAACATGTTGAATTATAAATTTATAGACTAATTTGACCTAAGATTATTTATGAGTAAAAATTAAATAGATAGTGACAAATTAGTTTAATTTAATTTAAGTCATTTTTTTTAAATTGACCTATTTTGATACTCATGATTACAAAGTACCTATTTAGTAGTTAGTATTAGTATTAAATTCAACTAAAGATGATAATTAAATTCATATTTACGGGATTAATCTTTCTTTATCTTAAGTTTGTAGAAAAAATTTGAGTTGATGAGAAAATCCTAGATCCAACAGAAATGATAATGAAAACTTAATTTCTAACATAAAAAAGGATTGTAAATAGGAACGAAAATGATTAAAAAAATAAAAAAAAATTATTTTAATAATTGAAAGAAGGGTATTTTTATACTTATTAAATAAAAAATATTATTCACTTTAATTATCTTACTTCCAAACTACAAATTGAGTTTTTACATGGTTTTAAATAAACCAACATTACAAACAACACTAAAATGTTGAAAATTTTTGAAACTAATATCCTTGATCTCACTTTAAAATTTGTAAATTAGTATTTTCTAATTGATACGTGAATTCTACCTCTAACATAAGCTTTATAAATAAATTATATATTACATATTATAAATAATTAAAGAAGAAGTCATATTTAAAAAGAGAGTTATAATACATCAACCTTGATGTATAAAACTCTTAATGGAAAACATTATCTTTTGTTTAGTGAAATAAAAAATAAGTCATGGTCTTATAATTAGGTGATTATATTCCCATTCTTTTTTTCAATAGTGACTTCAAAATGGAAAAATGCTTCATTGCTTTTGCCATGGCTAGTTTGAATGAAGTCTGGAGTAAGTATCTATAGGAATAAATTGAAAATTGAAAAATAATCATACAATCATACAATGACTAAAAAGGTTGAGTTGAACGGAATACAATATATATATTCTAAAATGATTTGGAGCAGTCAACGAAAATAATCATGTGTAAAAATGAAATTCTTAACCCACATCTACGTATTGAGAAAATAAATGAAACCCAAGATATTATGGTAAAGGAAATAATAGCGCATACCACTTGAAATTTGAATTTTGAAAGTTGTCTATTTTGAAGAACGTAAACATATCTAAGAAGCATATGGATGTGGGTTCAAATCTTATTGTACGAAGGTAATATGAAATTATTATAAGAACAAAGCAAATTAATACAGTTTGGAGAGTAATTATTGTTTCTAAAGCAATGGCCTTTCCATTTTGATGCATGCATAAGCCGTAGCCACCAAACACATGGTTCTTAAAACACTTAAAAATTAATTTAAACACTAGCATGTAAATCATTAATACAAAACTTAGGAGACATGGAATCTTACCCCAAAAAATTAGGCAAATAACACTAAAATAAATTTAGGTCTGAAAACTTAATCCCAACATTTATGGAAAATAAAAGTTAATATGTCAAAGTGAAATAAATAGAAAGTAATATTTAATTTAACCCCAAAAATTAGGCAAAACAAAATGCAATATACAGAAAACTATAAAAAATAGGATAAAAAAAAGTAGAACAGGTAAATCCAACATAATTTTTTTTTTCAAAAGTTTAACCGTAATCTGTAAAGGATACTGTGATTCAGGCAAAAGTTCAAACATCTTGGCAAAAACAAAATTCTAATCCTAAAAGGTTAAAAAAATAGGGGAAAAGATTCATTTTTTATATATATAAAAAAAGTTTCAACCTCTATTGATGGACTGATATAGAAGATTTCAGAAGATAACTATAATAGTTTTTGGCAAACATTGAAAATTGAATTTTGAAAGGAAAACTTGTTTGAAGAAGACATAGATTATAAGACAAAGATAAGAGAGGATAGATGAGACGAAGAATGAAAACTTGTTTAGATTAAAAAGTGGAGAGCGTATGAAGAAGTGGATTGACATAGTTATGACGCTTGCAATGATTTACTTTTCTTTATACAATTTATTTTTGCTCAGAAGTGTATAAACTTATCGTTTTGTGTTATCTTCATTTATATATATAGATTGATTATGATGTAAATATTTTATTAAAATAATATATATTTCTTATTATAAATAGTAAGAAATAAATTTATTGATAATAAAATTATCTTATTAATTCAAGTAACCACACTTCGTATTAATTTATACTCTTTTTCATCATTTTTTTTATCTCTCACTTTCTAACATCCCACAGAAAAGAAAATAGTTGTTCTTCTTATTATTTCTTGAAAGCTTTCTTCATTTCTATTTATTTACTTCAAAATATTTGGATTTCTTTTATGAAATTAAAATATCTGAAAAAGGGAAGAGCCAGCATTCCAGAATATTTTTTCTTTAGTGTAATGAAAAAAAAAACAAACTGAACAACTGCCGACGAATCAAAGCAACCAAGCGTAAAAGCCAAGGTACGTGGTCGTATGAATCGGGCAGTACTAGTGCCCTCAATCTAAAACCCTAAACCTCATTCTCCTGATTTGTTTCTTTCTCAATTCCCGCAAAACAAAAAACAACACAGTGAAATTGGCAAATGTCTCATTCTCACCCGTTACCCCTCAAGAGACAAGGTGAGCATTTGTCCGATGATGGTGCCTCTGCCATTAAACCCTCTCGTCTCAAAATCGCAATACCCTCTGAGGATTCCGACAAGAAGGTAGCCCCTTTTGGGCTTTTATCACCAATTTTTTCAACCCTAATTCTGTCTTCCTATTCGTCTAATTCTTTATAATTTTTTCCTTCCTGGGTTTCTTTTTCCCAAGTTTTTTATTTCCGGGTACCGAGTTTTGTGCCTAAATATTTCATTTTTGCTTCAGAATGCGAGCAAGAGGCTCAAAGATGTTGAAATTTGTGTCCCGATAGTGTATGGGACTATTGCATTCTATCTTGGTAGGAAGGCCAGTGAGTAAGTTGGGTCTGTGTGTCCCTTTTCTTTTTTGGGTCACTGGATTTGGCTATAGTATCTAATCCTTCGTTGCTACCAGGTCTCAGTCACACAAGTGGACAGTTTATGTACGCGGAGCCTCGAATGAAGATCTTGGGGTGGTGATTAAGCGGGTTGTGTTTCAATTGCATCCTAGCTTTAATAACCCCACTAGAGTTGTGGAGTCACCACCGTTTGAGTTATCAGAAAGCGGTTGGGGTGAATTTGAAATAGCCATCACTCTCTATTTCCACAATGATGTCTGTGAAAAACAGTTGGATTTGTGAGTTTCAGTTGCTTGTTTTGATGTTTTCATATTTTGCTGATTGAATAAACCATCAATTTCGTCCTCGAACTATTACTAGTCTCTCTTCTAAATGGCCTCAGGTCGTGTATTTTAGTAAACTTCATAAATTATTTTGAAGATTGTTTTGATATGTAAGGGACTGTTTATCATGATTTCTAATACTTTTAGGACTACTTAAGTAGTTTGTTTTACTTTATAGACCTCATAGGAGGAAGAGTAATACTTCACACATGGAATTGGTGGCTTACTCTTTACTGTTTACTTGGATTTGGGACTTGGAAAATTGCACTATTTTGACTAATTTATGTTAATGGATTTTGATATTATAGGTATCACCATTTGAAATTATATCCAGAAGATGAATCTGGCCCCCAGTCTACGAAAAAACCTGTGGTTGTTGAATCTTATAACGAGATTGTTTTTCCTGAACCCTCGGAGGGTTTTCTTGCACGTATACAGAATCATCCTGCTGTTAATGTGCCTAGGCTTCCTACTGGTTTGAATTTACCAAGTCCTGGTACTTTCCTTTCAAAATTATTCCTATACCTACTATTATTTAAATTTCCCCCCTTCACACTTATTCCTTTAAGCTTTCCCTTATTTTGGTTTGTGCAGTATCAATTGATACTATGAATGACAAGGAGAGAGGTGACACCAAAGATCATCCTCTAAGCCAATGGTTCTTGAATTTCTCTGAGGCGGATGAGCTCTTAAAACTTGCAGCAGCTCGCCAGCAGGTTATGGTTTATTAATTCAAGTATTCTATCATGCCTCTTTAACTTGGTAGTTTTATTGCTGGGAATTATTAATGGCTTTTATTCTGCATTAGTTTTTTGCGGATGCTATGCTATGCTGTGCGCTTCTTCTTCCTTAAAAGTAATATTATTTTATGGGGATTACCATCTGAAAGTAATATATTAAATGCACTGATTCGTTCCTGATGTGCAACAAATCAAGATAATCTTTTCACAAATGAGATTCTTCTGTATTCTGTCTGCATTCTTCTTGTTTTCAGTCTAGGAGGCTTTTATTGTATTGTGAAATCTAATGATTTAGTTCGTGGTTCTCACCAAATGTTTTATTTTTAAATCACTGTTTTGGATGCTTACGTAGTGAGCACCTAACCATTCTAGTTGCGCAAGTGGGCCTCTCTTTCGTACCGCTTGAAAGCATGTCTGTAAAATCTTTGGCTAATGTGCTGTTATTGAATTGTTTAGTCTTTTAAGAGATAGTGGAGATTTTTGTGCTGACTGTGTTGCCATCTCCTAGGTGCAAGCTCATATTGTGAAACTGCGAAGACAATTAAGTTTGGTGGAAGGACTACCTCAGCTGTCGAAACCACCCTCTGGTTATGAATGTACTTGATTTTTATTTTATAATTTTTTTGGGCTTCCACTTTAGGGTCAAACTTGGAAGATTAAGGATGAATTATGTATATAGTCTACGTTGTAGATTTTGTTGAGTTTTTTTTTTTTTTATCTGCAGCAGTCAAAATATTAGAGTTTTAGAATAATAGACATTTTCCGTGGCATTTATACGTAAAATCTTTATTGGTTGTAGATATGTGTATTGGTCGTACTTTAAGGATTATAACATTTTATGTTAAACTTATATTTAATCTCCTATTGCTTTGATCGTGTTAAAACCTAACCTAAATAAAATTATAAAATTTTTGATCACATGCTAATCAGGACTGGTTCAAGCACAGTCTAAGCTTTTTTCAGACTCATCAGTGGAAATTTATTTATTGCTTATAAATCTTTTATCATTAGGTGGTCAAATTACAACGATGCTTATCATCAGTACTTTTTGACTTAAAAATTAATTATTTAATAGTTAAAATTAAGTACAATTGTGAAAGATGGTTCCATGATAACTTTGTTTTGTAGAGTTAGGTAAAATGAAAAACAGATTAAAAAAGGTAAAGATTTCTGTGCTGTGTTTAGTTGTTGATCAAACAAGAAAAAATGTTACTGAATATACAGTATACATACAATATATCCAAAAAGCACTTTATTGTGTCTCACGTTCGATTTCTACGGTTCCAGAAGCTCTTGTGCTACCAAGCAAAGTCCAAAGCCGGCCAGCTCAGCGAGCAAATTAGAGTTACAAATGTACAAAATTGAGAGGGACCAACTTTCTCCTCAAACAAAGAAAAATAATAACGGGTAATTATTAATCTGAAAACTGAGGGCACCCCAAGACATACATACTTAAGGAAAATTCAGGAAGATAGAAGCAAGTTAGGGAACTAAGAAGGTGGGAAGACTTCTTAGGGTCTGGGAGAGTCAATTTGGTGGCTTCCTTTCTTTTTAGAGAAAAGCCATCCTATCAAAGGCATCAGTGGCCTCCTCTTAGTCTTCTTGACAGAAGGAGCTCTCCCAAGCAATTCACCCTTGTTAGGAATCACTTGAGCAAGTGCATGAGGACTAGCGAATTTCACATATCTTCTCTTTTGGAACTCTGCAATCTCTTCATCACTTTGTGTCTTAATTTCCACATTGGTTGCATTTGCAATGAACTTGAGGTCTTCAATCTCTGGATCATCCCGTCTCTGCAGCAACCTTTTCTCCCTTGCTTTTGTGTCTTCGAGTTCTTTCTTTGTTTGTTCCAGTTCCTTCTTCAGGGACGTGATGCGCTGAACCAACATGCTAGCTTCTTCTCTAGCTCCCTCAAGACTTTGCTTTGTTTCTTCCAGCTCAGCTGCCATTGCCCCACCTCTGGTTTGTCCACTCCCTTCAACTTGGATCTTAATCATTCGAGACACATGCATAATCACGATTAATTAACAAACTATACACATCTTTTCCAATTTGGAGCTAATTGTTACATGCATGTAGGCACATAATTACAACAACATTTTAGCCAAGACAAAATAACATTGATACAGGAAGAGAAAATACGTCGTGATATCTAACTACAATGATAAAGTTGTTAACCATTGTGTCTATTATGATTCCTGATTAACTGAAAGCACATGAAAATTAAAGTAGAATAGAAAGAGAAACTGGGGAACCTCTTTGAGCTTGTTGGCATAAATCTCCCCAACTAATACTTTTTCTCCGAACAACATCACTGCTTCTTTAACAGACTTGAATGGGGCACGAGTGTCAATCTCAGTGCGTTCCATGATCACCATTTTCCAAGTAAATGTATGTTTGTTCTTGAGCTAACTAGTTGCCAAGTTGTCCTCAGTTGGCGTAGGAATTAAACCGTGATAGAATGAGAAATGTAGGAGTGAATGTGTGAAGGCAAAGCTCCATTTAATACAACAGACGAGGGGACTAGTCTTAAGGGTTATTAGTAATGGGTATTGGTGGTGTAATAATTGGATAACTTGAAAAGAAACTTAGTAGAATCACAAAACCTTTCTTTTCTTCGCGTCCACTTCACTGGTATTTCGTTAATTGAAGTTGACAAGGGTGGTTGGACTGTCCTGATAGTTTAGTTAGTTCAATCTATATGACATCGAAATTTTGATATCACCCTCTGGAGCCTTGATTAGGACCTGTCTCCTTTCAGCTAAAGACACCATAGAATATCGCTTTGTTTTGGTTCCACTTCAGGCACTAGTGGAGCCCATGTCAAAAGTTTTCAGAAAGAAAATAAGACATTGGCACGTTCATGTTCTCAAGGAGGAAAGTTTTTTTATTCGAGTGCTTCGTCCAAATTGCTAATTAAATAGGTATCCAACGCCCTCTTGTTAGACCTGCTTCCAAATTTTACATAAAGTTATTATTATTATTATTAATCCTAATTTAAAGTTATTTTTGGTAGTATTTTTTACTGTCCTAAACTTTTACTGACTGTTTTTTTCTAAGACTAAAGTGGAAAAGTGACATAAATGGTTTATGGTTGATAAACGAGTATTAACAGTTAGATTAATTAGATAGTATAAAATAATAGTATATTTATCTCATTATAGAAATAAATAAATATTTAATCGCAAATATTTTTTCTTTTGATTATAAGTAAATGTATATAGCACCCTAAATTTTTAAAGGAACAGTTTTAAATAAATTGAGTAAAAAAAAAAGACAAAAAAAATAAAAATAAAAACAACTATAAATATGAAAACTACATTGTTTTATAACTAATGGCCAACAGTTAGTGATATCAAATGTATTCATAGAAAATGGGGAGTCTTCATGATCATTTTGAAAATTCTTATTTTGACGAGGATATTCACTTCATATATTTGTCTATTTCTTAAATATTAATTAAAGAGGCTTTTAGATGAATGAAACAATAATTTATACAAAATGATAAGAAATGTTTATTGTTCAAAAGTTGTAAAATTTACAATAAATCATAATAATATATTAATTGTGAATCAAAAAACAAAAACTATCATGAAACATAAATCATCAATACGAATAAAATAATATAATATTGTATACTATGTAATTGAATACAAATAATGAATAAATTTTGTTCAATTTCAATATATTTTCCCAATTTTAACTGTTTTTTTTAATGTTATTTTTCCTTAAACGTTAAACTTCACATTCGAAAAATAGATTTATGAACATATAAAGTAAATTTTCCAATCGAGAACTAATGGTTTATCATTTAAATTTAAATTTAAATTTTGTCATGAAATTTAAAGGAAAAAAATTTCCTTAACCTCAATTTCTAAATTATGTAAAACTTACATGTATATAAATATTAGTGTTCAACAATAATCATTTTCATTTCTAAAGTAAGCATAAATCAAATATAAATAATTTTTACGAGACATGATGCACAACATACATCATTATTACCATGATGATATTAAACTATCTTAATTTAATTAATGAAATTGAGTTTAAATTTTCAATATTCAATTGATTTAAATATTAAAAAATTAACATATTTATTCTTAATGATTTTATTTAACTCAAATTTTATTGTTTTCCATAGCATATGTCATATAAAAATAATATTAATTTTCTTCTTATTGTTATATATATCCAAATATATAGTAAGAAATATATATATATATATTAAATAATTGTTTTAATTGTGATAATGAAATATTTTATTGTTTTTTACAAAGATCAATTTTTATCCCAATTTACATCAATACTTTTTCTCTCGAGTGGGCATGTAAATATTTGAAATATCTAACTTTTCAAGTGAGTTGTAAAAATTCATATGTGAGCCCATTTTCCATATGTTTAGTCTAATCATGTTGGATAGGGTCATGAAGAATTATAATATCATCTTTAAGAGAAAAACCAATTTTAGTTAGTAGCCTTCAAATGCGGAGAAATTCATGAAGATATTTACTCATCCCACACAACCCAATTTCAACACTTGATAATGACACGACCTTAAGCCTTTTCAAGGTGAAGAGTTCAAGAATTGGAGAATTAGCTTTACAACCTTGGTATGATCCATACTTTGATTATGCTTTGACTTACTATGTTTACTACATAGGATATATTTTACGATTAATTAACGAACTATATACACCTTTTCGACCTAATTGTCATATGCATGTAGGGGCATACATAATTACAACATCATTTTCGCCAGGACAAATAACATTAATACATGAAGAGAAAATAACTCGTGATATCAAACTAACTGCAATTAATATGTATGATAAAGTTGTTAACTATTGTATCTATTATAATTTGAAGTATATTATGTTTATTATATAAGATATATTTGTTCTATACGAGATAGATAGATAAATAAGTTTGTCATCTCTATTTTAGTATTATTAGTTTTTTTTTTTAATTTGGTTCAAATATTCACCAAGTTGATAATTATGAACCATTAAGTGTCTACACTTTTATAGCCTTGTAGTCAAAACTTTGATAATAGATATGTGATGTACTTTTTTTTTTTTTTAGAGAGAAAGACATTTCGTTCTTCTCTAGAAACTTCCATTCCTTTAAATATGTAATTTTTTCTAAATTTTCATCTCAAGTTCAATTCTCAACTGTTTTTTAAGATTGTTTATCTCCTTTAAGTCATCTTTAACGATGGGCATTGTCATTTGCACATAATTAATACAATTGTCTTGCCCTTTTTATGCTTCAAAACAATGTCGAATCTACATGGTATTGCTAAACACGTGAACGCACTATGTTTAATTTGACCACATGAGATAAAGTTTCTTGTAAATTGCACCATATTTTTTTATAAAATCTTCAACTACTAGTCTTCCTTGTATCTTACAATGGACTTGTCAATTTTATATTTGATTTATAAGACTCATTTGCATTCTATTGAAGCACCACGTGACATTCATGTTTAAAATTTCTATTTCTTCATTCTTATTTTAAACCTATATTTTTAGTTGAGTTTTTTTTTTTTATTGTAGAGATTCTAAACCTCCTAATTTCAATTTTTTTTAATTGAAAAAAGACTTTAAATGTTGTAATTCAACAATTTGTGATGTTGAAAACTTGTTCCAAATAAAATAATGTTTCAACTCAACTTTAACATCTTTTGTATAAACTATATAAAACTTAATAGAAAATACATACGGATGAATAAGATTCATTACCAATAAAAAAACAACATAACATAATTGCAAGATTTAGAATTCAAATATCTATTATAAATTCTAATACAACTTAAAATCCATAATAAATATACAAGTAGTTTTGTCCAAGAAAAATTAAAATATAAAACCAAACTAATGGTTGTCTATTCAAGCATCTATTGTATACCCAAATAGTTCAAAATAATATATAAAAATAAATTAAGGATCGGTAGCGGGTATATGACTGACGCTTTTGTATCCACTGGTGTATTAGGAACACATGAAACATATTTTGGCTGAATATATATATATATATATATATATATATATATATATATATGTATATATATATATATACATATATATATATATATATATATATATATATATATATATATATATATGGAAATTAAAATTATAAACATATAGATGTGGGTTAAAAAGAAATGTCAAAGAACTAAACTTATGCGTTTTAACAACATTCCTACTAAATTATCATTTTGATTCACATAACATTATAATATATCTCATTAAGAAAAACATAACCCACTTAAAAATGGAAAAGAATGTCCTTCACAATTGTAGAACCTTTCTCATCAAGATTCATAATGATGTGTAGCTCCCTCAGTAAACTATTTCCTCCTTTAACTTTCACTTTAATAAAACACTTATATAACAATACTAGTCCAACAATGTGTAGGCTCACGTCCAACGTGAATTATAAATGTTTCATCTTCTTCTAGGACATTAGGAATTCACATATATAAAGTAAGGTCATCAATATTTGGGACATTGGAGCTGACATTGTGAAGAATCAAGTGGTGATCAAGGATCAAGACTTAATTTTTGGTGCATAATAGGTTGTAGCTTGTGTTGGAATTATCATACTATAATTGAATAACTGATTTTTGTGAATTTCTAAAACTTTGACATGGCTGCAACAAAATATTAATTGACAAACTAATTAGAATACAATGGCAATTAATTTAATAATCAAAGAACAATGTCTTAATTTTTTTTTAAATTATCATAACATTAACCACTAAATACATACCCTTAAAAGAATGTTATAATAAATTTTGTATTCAAGCAAGCTTTAATTTATTTTTATTTTTGGTTTTAAATTTAAGGATGGTAAAATAGGTAAGTTTGCTCCACTTAAATTTATGACTTAACGGATTAGCGGGTTAATAATATATTTTTAACTATATAAATTTTTTTAAACTTTTATTTATTAATTAATATTTTATTAAAAAAATAAATAATTATATTTATGTGTTAAAATAATTAATTATAATCAATAATTTAAATTTAATTAATTAATTTTTATAATTTAAATTATAATATTATAATATATTTATATTTTAATAATATAAAAAAATTATAATATTTTGAATTATATTTTTTTTATTTTAATTTTAATATATAATTATCTTTTAAAACAGGTCAATGACTAGTCTATCCCATTTCTTAACAACAGGCGAGATAAAGCATATCAATATACGTGGTCGAACAAAAAATTATCAGTCTATTCCTCCATTTTTTAGGTTGACTTGTAAAACGATTTACCGAACAAATTTGTTTGGCACTCATAATTAAATATTAGTTAATTAAAAAATTTGTAATATATGATTACATAAATATAAATATGACCA